GTGGGGAACTTAGTATGTAGGCTGTGATTGTGGGGTACTTAGTATGTAGGCTGTGATTGTGGGGTACTTAGTATGTAGGCTGTGATTGTGGGGTACTTAGTATGTAGGCTGTGATTGTGGGGATCAAAGATGTAGGCTGTGATTGTGGGGAACTTAGTATGTAGGCTGTGATTGTGGGGATCAAAGATGTAGGCTGTGATTGTGGGGAACTTAGTATGTAGGCTGTGATTGTGGGGATCAAGTATGTAGGCTGTGATTTTGGGGTACTTTGTATGTAGGCTGTGATTTTGGGGAACTTAGTATGTAGGCTGTGAACTTGGGGTACTTAGTATGTAGGCTGTGATTGTGGGGATCAAGTAAGTAGGCTGTGATTGTGGGGTACTTAGTCTGTAGGCTGTGATTGTGGGGTACTTAGTATGTAGGCTGTGATTGTGGGGTGCTTAGTATGTAGGCTGTGATTGTTGGGTACTTAGTATGTAGGCTGTGATTGTGGGGAACTTAGTATGTAGGCTGTGATTGTGGGGTACTTAGTATGTAGGCTGTGATTGTTGGGTACTTAGTATGTAGGCTGTGATTGTGGGGAACTTAGTATGTAGGCTGTGATTGTGGGGAACTTTGTAAGTAGGCTGTGATTGTGGGGTACTTAGTATGTACTCTGTTATCTTGGGGAGCTTAGTATGTAGGCTGTGATCGTTGGGAACTTAGTATGTAGGCTGCAATTGTGGGGAACAGTTAGTATGTAGGCTGTGATCGTGGGGAACTTAGTATGTAGGCTGTGATTGTGGGGTACTTAGTATGTAGGCTGTGATAGTTGGGTACTTAGTATGTAGGCTGTGATTGTGGGGAACTTAGTATGTAGGCTGTGATTGTGGGGTACTTAGTATGTACGCTGTTTTCTTGGGGAGCTTAGTATGTAGGCTGTGATTGTGGGGAACTTAGTAAGTAGGCTGTGATTGTGGGGTACTTAGTCTGTAGGCTGTGATTGTGGGGTACTTAGTATGTACTCTGTTATCTTGGGGAGCTTAGTACGTAGGCTGTGATCGTTGGGAACTTAGTATGTAGGCTGTGATTGTGGGGAACTTAGTATGTAGGATGTGATTGTAGGGTACTTTGTATGTAGGCTGTGATCGTGGGGATCAAAGATGTAGGCTGTGATTGTGGGGAACTTTGTAAGTAGGCTGTGATTGTGGGGTACTTAGTATGTACGCTGTGATCGTGGGGAACTTAGTATGTAGGCTGCGATTGTGGGGTACTTAGTATGTAGGCTGCGATTGTGGAGTAGGCTGTGATTGTGGGGTACTTAGTATGTAGGCTGTGATTGTTTGGTACTTAGTATGTAGACTGCAATTGTGGGGAACTTAGTATGTAGGGTGGGATTGTAGGGTACTTTGTATGTAGGCTGTGATCGTGGGGAACTTAGTATGGAGGCTGCGATTGTGGGGAACTTAGTAAGCAGGCTGTGATTGTGGGGTACTTAGTATGTACTCTGTGATCGTGGGGAACTTAGTATGTAGCCTGCGATTGTGGGGTACTTAGTATGTACCCTGTGATCGTGGGGAACTTAGTATGTAGGCTGCGATTGTGGGGAACTTAGTAAGCAGGCTGTGATTGTGGGGTACTTAGTATGTAGGCTGTGATTGTGGGGAACTTAGTATGTACGCTTCAATTGTGGGGAACAGTTAGTATGTAGGCTGCGATTGTGGGGTCGTATGTAGGCTGTGATTGTTGGGAGCTTAGTATGTAGGCTGTGATTGTTGGGAACTTAGTATGTAGGCTGCGATTGTGGGGATCAAAGATGTAGGCTGTGATTTTGGGGTACTTTGTATATAGGCTGTGATTTTGGGGAACTTTGTAAGTAGGCTGTGCTTGTGGGGTACTTTGTAAGTAGGCTGTGATTTTGGGGTTCTTTGTATGTAGGCTGTGATCGTGGGGAACTTAGTATGTACGCTGCAATTGTGGGGAACAGTTAGTATGTAGGCTGCGATTGTGGGGATCAAAGATGTAGGCTGTGATTGTGGGGAACTTTGTAAGTAGGCTGTGATTGTGGGGTACTTAGTATGTAGGCTGTGATTGTGGGGTACTTAGGATGTAGGCTGCGATTGTGGAGTAGTCTGTGATTGTGGGGTACTTAGGATGTAGGCTGCGATTGTGGAGTAGTCTGTGATTGTGGGGTACTTAGGATGTAGGCTGCGATTGTGGAGTAGTCTGTGATTGTGGGGTACTTAGGATGTAGGCTGCGATTGTGGAGTAGGCTGTGATTGTAGGGAACAGTTAGTATATAGGCTGCAATTGTGGGGTACTTGGTATTTAGACTGCAATTGTTATATTATGGTAGTAAATATAAACTTGATTTAGTTTATAACAATTATGAAACAAGTTATTTCAACTTATATTAATCACTGCGCCACCTGACCACCAATGTAATATAATGGTAGTTGATGGTCCCTAACTCGAGCTATGGCCCTTTGTTCATAGTATCTCACTTAGTTTGGCATATCTCATACACTTTGTCAACTAAAATTGTCAGATTTTGTGTTGGAGTACATTTTGAGATGGTAGAGTGTTGCATACTGAAACTAGGAATCTGGTAACAGTATAAACAGAGTTATGGCCCTTTATTTATTTTTCATACCGAATCTGGACTATGTCTTGGTTGCAATATTTTGCCTTGTTGATATGACCCTTTTTATTAAAGCGAATCTTTTTCTGCAGGAAAAACAGACAGATCCCAGGAAAAATGTAGAGCGAGTTTACTGTGGACATTTGTTTCATTTTGGATGTTTAAAAAGATATTTAAAGACGCCTCCTTTTGCAGGTAAGATTGATACTGCGGTGATAGAGTTGTAGGTTTTATAGAGATCTGACTTGCTATATCTCTAATGTCTCCTACAAACCAATCAACAGTCTCAATTAGTCGACGTCTGGTTGTTTGTTTCTGAAAATCGATTAATCAATCTTTGTTTTCCATGGTCGATTATAGTTTGACTAATTAAAGTATTAACAAAATATAAACTCGGATAGTTAGTGTTATTACTGCCGACAGCGAGTTGTTCGTTCTTCAGCAAAACAACTTGACCTAACATCCCACACAACGACGACGCTGATTGGCTAGCTGGTCCACCCGACAACCAATCAGAATTTGCGTTTCAATAGAAATGCTGCATGGCTCAGTCCGTGCATGACAATATGGCAAACCAGGACATTCCGGAGATTTAAACTCTATGGGGCTACTGATTTAAACGCTTGGAAGGCATTGTTCCTCCTTAGCTGGATATAAATAAAACGCTTTGTCGAAAGTGTGGGCTATCTTACAAATAAAATGTTAAGTTTGACGGGGTGTCATCAGGTGAATGCCAATTCATCACGGCATTTCTGAATATGAGATGCAGCTGTCACAGCATAATGGACATTGCAAACATCATCAATTTAATTTCCAAATACATGTACATATTTTTCAATAATTATAAGGTTCTGTCAACAAACGTAATGTTTTTGTATGAATGTTGTGCGTTATCAGCAAAATTATCTAATGTCAGGTTTCCCTGGAAAAGAATGTGAAAATAGATTTCAGAAAGCACTATAACCTTAAATTACTGAATTTAAGTTTAGTTTGATCGATCATTAGTCGATCATCAGTCACTTGATTGGAAGTGATGATCGAGTATGAATTTACAAGTGATTCCCAACACTAGTCTCAATAATACTGATAATGATAAAAACATCTTAATTTTATTGCCTGGTATGGCAGGGCGACATAAGCAGATTACTTTATTATAGGTGTTGTCAAATGTGTCGTCTGTACAAAGGTTTCAGTTCAATTTTGATCCTGATCTGAAATTCAATATGGCTGCCCACAGCCATTTTTCGAATTCAGAACCTGAAGTGATATTTGTGGGATAACTTTTGAAAGAATGGTTCGATTTCATAAAACATTCTACAAATACAAGTAACTCCTATAATACGTATTGTATCAGTTTTCCAGTCAATGATTTTTAGTTGGATTTTTAGGTTACCTGAGCTTTGTTTCAGCAGAAAATTATTCACACTTGGTCAGAATCATCTTTGGTGGATGAGGGTATTACATTGTAAAAATTGGTATTTCTGCCCCATCCCCAGGGGCTAGGGCGGGGCCCATAAGGAAAAATTTACCAATATTTTAAAATTCTTATCCTTTGATGACATGACAAGTATTGTATTTCATTTAGTTTACATGCTGATTTCCACATCACAACTAAACAATAATATTGAGCTACCAATACCTATGATATAACTCAGGTGACCGCTAAGGCTCTTGGGCCTCTTGTTAATTTTGAAAGGCCTTCAAGTGCCATCTTTGAGTTTTTGAAAGATTACATTGTTTCTGTGCTTTACGCATTGAAGGAATTATGTGCAATAATCCTTGAAGGAATTCTGTGAAATAATCCTTGAAGGAATTCTGTGAAATAATCTTTGAAAGAATTGTGTGTTATAATCCTTGAAGGAATTCTGTGCAATAATCCTTGAAAGAATTGTGTGTAATAATCCTTGAAGGAATTCTGTGCAATAATCCTTGAAGGAATTCTGTGCAATAATCTGTGAAGGAAATGTGTGTAATAATCCTTGAAGGAATACTGTGCAAAAACCCTTGAAGGAATATTTGATTTTCATGAAACTTTTTACACATGTATCAATTACCCGCTCATGTTTGATTATGACCCAAATCTGAAAATTAACATGGTTGCCATTGGGGGCAGACGACACATTCACTTCTGTGGAATTCTTGTTTTGAGATTTTTTAACAATATTCTTAATCTCTCTTACCCAATATTAAAATGTCACCTATGGCCAAAGATGAAACTGCAGTGCTTAAAAAATATGGTATTGATCAAGGAAAAGTGTCAATATATTTGTATTAATTCTTGTTATTTTATTACAACAGATGGTAAAAAATGTCCGGATTGTGGTAAACAGATATTCCATGAGAAATGGCGAATATCTCCGCAACTTGCCGAAGCACGCTGGGCTCACAAACAGGCACGACAGAGGGAGCTAGCCGAGGTCATGGACTTCCTACAATGATGTCTTATTTTATCCTAGGGCTATTTTTACAATTTTAACTGACTTGAAATGTTTCAATACGTATTGTTCCTGCTGCAGTTGGTCAAGCTGTGAAGACAATGTTTTTATCGACCTCGGAAATGTTGGAGATGAGTGTTTTTTTGTATATTATTTGTATGCTTTAGGAATCTCGATTTAGCTTGTAAGGTACATAGGAATTGGCATCGTGATGCATTTTACTAGAAAACAATTTTAAAGTAATGATAGGTTTAATATCAGAGCACCTCCCCTCAGAACACAGGGTCCTGTGTCTGTACAGAAATGCCAAAAGCACAGAGTTTATAACCCTGAGAAATAATTGAATCTTTTAACTCATTCACCCCTGAAAGTTTATAATGAACTATTCTAACAGTAGAATTGGAAGATTTTAAATGTGTTTTCAGGGGTAAATGAGTTAACTTTCATTAGTTAATTTTAAAATTGTCAAAGACACTTGGTAAATGTGGTGTCTTTATACAAACTTTAAATTGACTAATTCAAGTTGGATAAACATGATAACCTACCACCACTCCTCGGGGAACCTCTATATATCAAATGTAGGTCACTGTGACCTATATTGTCTGCTTCATGCTAAAGCGGGAGTTGGAACATTTGTATGTTTTGATTTTTTTTTCTTTTCTAGTTTCTACATTAGATTACTCTGATATTTGAGTCCCATTTATGAGGAATAATGAAATTTGTCTTATATGCTTATCAGAGACTTGTAGCTGGATACAAGTTTTGGTTGAATTGTCCATCATAATAAGGTTTAGCCTTGGCGTTTTTTGAAAACCTTCAAATTGTCACAATATCTTAATTTTTGGTTGTTGTAAATTTGTTAGATCAATTGACGAAATTAATTTGGAACAAAGTCAATTTTTGTTGAAGTCATGTTGTTGAATATTTGAGGGTAAAATAATTGTTTGATTTTTTTTATAACCAGATACAAAATGTATTTAAAAATAGGGCGACTTTGTTGAAGTAGTACTTGATTCTATTTGTTAGGTGAAGTACAAAGCAAGTTTGACTCAGTCAAGACATGACAGTGGCTCAGGTAAAATAAAGAGTAAACTTGACTTGAGTCAAAGTATTAATACATGATGGTGACTCAGAAAAAGTATAGAAACAAATTGACTCTGGTAAAACTAATAACATATGGTGAGCCACAAATGTTTAAACTGGTGTAAGTCCGTACATCAACAGCCTATGGGTGGGCCTGGTCCCAGACAAACCAGTTTGTTTACTTTTTAACGTAATATTTACAGAGTATAGAATCGACACATGTTAATGTAGGCCCTGATTATCTCTGTCAGGTCCCGCCAGGAAGCAAAATCAGATAACTAGGTCTGTCTATTATTCATATACTGGTCCAACCATACGAAAGTTTATAAATGGAAGCGATGCAAATGTTGTGTAGATTTATAAATATTACCATTATATTAATGAATAATCATTGTCATGAAGCCTATCGCTTCTCAACTGATGTTTGAAAAATTATGTAATTTGCAGATTTTGCCTTCAATTTAAATTCTTATAATAAGCTTTACTTTTATGTTGAATTTTGGGAATGGAATTCCTTGCCATTAAATGACATAAAAAGTAATCCCCTGCAATGTGTAAGTTAAGTATTGTTTGTTGTTCAGGTATATTTGATCTGGTAATATCACTGTATCACTGACAATACATCTGGGTCTTAGCTTATTGATGATTTTTTTTACAATGTATTATATTTGATTGTGAGCGGAAAACCTGACCGTTATTTTGCCTTTATAAGGAGTTTTAATGATGTACATAGTTAACGATCATTATTGTTTGTCAGTACGTAAGTATTACATGTACCTGTAACATTGAGTGGGGCTGATGTAAACAAGTACAGGCATGGTTTCTCACCTGGTCAACAAGTATTTGGATATTTGTCAGTATACAGATTTTATAACCCCCACCCCCCGTATGTATACTGTATACTGTGAAATTTGAGCCCAGTCAAAGTTTCGCCCTTCGACCATGAAATCAATTTTTGTCCATCACATTTAATTATGATGTTTATTATGCTTTTTACTTGCATTCACCCTCATCACAGAGGGCGCAAAGGCGAAAAAAATAAAATTGCATTGAAAACTTTCCCAGTATACGGTTGGTACTAGTGGGGGACCTTGTTAATGTGATAATATGATCACATTTTCTATCTGGATGTTCTGACCGCAATCTAAAAATTTCACAAATTTTGCTGCATTCGCAAAATAAGCGAAATTAAAACCGTAGTGAATATTAGTAACTATACAGTAGCGAGACCTCATTAATGCGATAATCTGATTACAATTTCTATCCTAGCAAGACTCCACAGAAAAAGTTCTAGACTAGCAAGTTTCTTCAGTAGTGAGTTATACCGTCAGACGATGTATTGTCGCGACAGTTTTTAGACACGCAAGGGGCCACAGAAGTCAGATAAACTATGAAGTGATGTGTGGTCTTAAATATTTTCTCACCCGACAAGGTTCCATGACAGTCAGGGTACACTGTTAGATTATTGTCTTAAAAAAACCCAGTTTCTATAGACTCATGAGGTCACACAGTATGTCAGGGTACACTGTCCAACAATGTATGGTAGTGAGTAACTGTTTCGGAGCCAGCAAAGTTCGACAGCAGTCAGGGTACCCCTCCAGACAATTTATTACCAGTATCCTAAATATCCATTTTAAGACTTACTGTAGCCAGGGTATATGTCGGAGAATGCATCATCTTGAGCATCATTATTCTGTTGATTACTCCTGTAAGTTTGTAAAATGATTCAGAGAGTTGTGTTATAAGGCTCAAGTTTGTATAATGTTTCCCTAATAGCTAAATGAAATCTTAAAAATTCAATTTTCTTGATTTTTTTGTGTTGTAAAAATGTGAATGGTTTTATGTTTAATATCTGAAGGTGAACATTTTGTATTTCAGGATATGTAAAATTTGTTTTGGGTTTTAATGATTTATGATTATCATTTAATAAAATCTTACCTGTGTAAGTAAGCTGAAGATATGTGGTTCAAAGAGTCCAGATAATTGAAAAAATGCTATTTGATAACAAGTATATTTAATTAAGGTTTATTTTTGCAATCCCGTACATATGCTTTTAAACTATTGTATACCTGTGTAGTTTGTTGTTCTGTGGCAGAAGAGACGAGTTTTTGTATAAAAGTTATGAATTCAAAATGTAAAACAATAAGACATAGTTGCTACCAGAAATGAAACCGTTATTGTGTTCTTCCAATGTTTGAATCAATTTGAAAAACAATTTTCATTAGGTCATTATTTTTTCAATGATTCTGCTTGGGATCAAATCCTGGCTGTCTGACTTACCTGTCTGACGATCTACTGAATGAGCTAAAGAGAAATTCTCCCTAACCAAGTCGGAAGAAATTGACTGGCATTTTACCAGGGTCAGATTTTTCATGGTCAAACTTCTGTTTTACTATTTAAATTTAATGGTTAATATTGTTTTATAAATCTCTGCAGAACCTCATTCATAGCAGTTCTAGAGGTTACAATATGTTGTACATTTGGAGGCATGGTAGTCTGGTGGTAGGACGCCGGGCTCGTGACTGAAGGGTTGCGGGTTAGAGTCACGGCACAGCACTGTGTTGTATCTTTAAGCAAGATACTTAACTCAACTTGTTTCAGTCTACTCAGCTGTAAATGAGTACGTGGTTGGGCAGTGATAGAATTGTAGAATGCTAGCTGTTAGCGCCGAAATGGCAGCTCCGGTTGTATGCTAGCTCCTCTGGGAGTTGAGAAATGTACTGGCTAGTTGCAAAGGCCCTATAACCACGCTAATAATTTGTGAACCGCTTTGAGACTACCTACGAACTAGGTTGTTATAAAGAGGTATATAAGAACCTCAAATTATTATCATATTCACTGAAGAGATGTGCTACTGTTTAATATGAACCTTGGATATCTAAGATGCAGGGATAATTATGTTAAAAGTCATTTATTGATGAAGTTCTCATGCTTAAACTCAGATTTTGTGCTCAAGCCGATTTCCTTGTTCTAATGAAATCATATTTTTGTCAATTGTTCAGAAGAATTTGGGGGAGATTTAGTCCAAATACAATTTTCAGAGTTTAAAGTTGAATTTTTGATTATTTCACATGACTAAAGCAAGTTAGAAGAAAGTTGTTTTGAGCAGAGAAACTGTTTGAGCACGAGAACAGTTTCATGAATATTGACCCTGGACTTGCGAAAGGAATTTCTGATTTTTGATTTTTTTTCCCCAAAGATTCTGGAGTAAGGTTTCATTATACATCCATATTATGTTATACAATGTACCACAGATAAGCAAGCCCTCAGCAACTGTTAATCCCTACATATGTAGGCTGTGTATGTGTGCTGAATGTTGACATTCATATCTTGTGATATTTATTGTGTATTCCACCCAACTTAACTGTAATTAAAGTTGTCATAATTTTCAAAGTCTGATGTTTTCATCTTGATAACCCTGTAGATTGGAGCGTTGCCTCTCAATTAAACTTACAAACCTGGGCCTTGTTTCAGACCTTTAGATTGTTGTCACAAATTTAGGTAGGATGTCATTGATCATTAAGATCATGATTAAAATACTAAATCCACAAGGTTTTAAATGCAAGTTTTTTTCTTCTCCTTTGCAAGGTATTGAATGGAGAATAAGAGTCGCACAGGGTCTGTAGCTCATACATGACAAGCTTTTTTTTTTCAGGGAGAAATGTGAACAAGGGGCCCAGAGGGCCTGTATCGCTCACCTGGATATGTGGTACTGTATGTACATATGAAATTTCAGAAAGATCCCTTCTGTAATCCTGGAGATATAGCGAGATCAAATGTCAAAATCCAAGATGACGGCCAGGTGGACATCTTGTTTTAATGAATACACCCTAAAGTAACAGGCACTACTAGACAACTTGATGGAGACCAAATTGGGATGATATCCCTCAATATACCTATGGTAGTAGATAGATTTTACCTCTATTTCGCCTATAAGGCCCCATCTCTCTGCCCCCAGGAAGGGCAGGTGAGCTAAAAATCTCTAAAAAGTACTTTTGTAAATTCAATTTGACAAAATAAGTGAACAATGTCATAATGTGATTTATTTATTCTTTGAATAAGATAAAAGTGAGTATAAAGCAAATGGAAGGAAATTTAGCTATTTCAAATGTCAAAAAAGGATGAAAATGTTTAGTCTCCCTCTAAAATGTGGAAACTTACAAAGTATGCACTTATTTTTATTCCAGTGAACTTGAAAAAACAACACAAAGATAGCTTTTGGGGTAAAACTGATTTAATTGAACACCAGACGACTAATCTGGGCCTTTCTATTTACAACAGGCGAGAATAGGTATCTAGCTTGATAAACACTTAGTTTAATGCTGTGACAGAACAGTTCACACTTGCATGCATTACACACCTGCATACATTACTCGCATGTATTCTCACACCTGTATATAGTACACATCTGGATGTAATACCTGCATACAATATTCACACATGTTTAGTACATACACATTGTAAATCAAATAATTTTTGTGAGAGATTCATTTTCTGTTAATTGGCATAGAGACCTATTCACAAATTTAAATCTTTCACAAATATTTGATAATTTCTATAAATATTGAAATAACCTCCAACCAATCGTGAATAAAACCTACAGGCATAGTTTGTGAAGGTACATACGATTATAAGGTGACTTACAGTTATTACACACCTGTATGAAGTTCACACCTGTATGTAGTACACATACATATCCATACATTACATATATACATATATATATAATATACACATGTAAGTGGCTCATACCTGTGTGCCACACATCTATATTTTGCAGCCATCTTTATGTCTGATGCCACACAAGTACATATTGTCGAGTGATGGCAAAGTTACACCAACAAAGACTGCGAAAGGGAAAATGTGTGCAAATCAAGACTGGAGATTAGTAAATAACATCTTTATGAATCATTGTTGATGAAGCTGAATTTTCAATTAAGGACCCTCCCACACCACTGCTAAAACCTAGCTATACTTGGGGAAACTTGTTTAACTAGTAAACCAAAGCTTTACTTAATCTTTTCTGAAAAGAAAACGATACCTTGCAGGACTGTAATGAAAAATGACTAAAGATGAGATGAAATAAATAAAAATAAATCAACAACAGTGTAAAAATTAAACGGAGCTAGACGGGGACTCGAAACGTAGACCTCGGATCATTATTGTGTCGCTCTTATTAATTGAGCCACCTGGTCAATAGAAGATACCTGGCCTGGTCATGCTGTAGTTATACCAAGACTTAAACTAAGGGGAGAACACTCTAGTACAAACAGCTACAGTCAAACTCTCTAGTGTTTTGCCTGCAGATGGACAGGGATCCTTAAATTAGATATATATATATATATAGGATCATATATGAGTTTCCATTTCATATGAAATAAAATTGAGTGTAAGATCCTTTTTATCACATAATCAAAATTTGTGGCATTTATTCGTGTAAAACAACAATGTTCATGCAACCTTGAAATGTAAAAAGCCGCCATTTTGACTCCAGTACGTAAGTCTATGACGTCATGTACTTGTTTTAGGCATGTCGTCACAGTTGAAACAATTAAAACTTACAACCAATCACAGGGCTGATAGGTCAAATTACATGGGTTAATACGCAAAAATATATGACATGGGTATACTCACTGGATAACACAGTACATTACAAATGTATGTGATAAATATACATATTTCCATTTTACATGAAATTTTCTTCAGGCAAGATGTATGTTTACATGGACATAGTAAGAGTAACACACAATGAAGGTGATAAAATAAATAAAGAAACAAGTGATTGTACAGATGAAGGGGTTGGCTTAAAGAAGAGGTTTCTCACTCAATGGGATATTCTAATCACTTACTGCATTTTCCCATTCCTATTGAAGCATTGCCCTACATTTTCCTCAAAAACAGTCATTACGGGATACTTCAGGAGTAGGTATACAGGTAAATGGTTTTTATTATCTTTGACATTCAAGGCTGATTGTGTGCACAGAAATCCTGTCTTCAAATGTCACCTTTCTGACCAAATCACCAGTCTATTTCACCAATGGTCATTTTTGCATTGTTCTCTATACCTAAACACCAAACCGCTTCAACAGTTCTATATTGTGAGGAAAAACAATGAATCTACTACAAGTTTTCTTCAATGATATGGACACAGATTAAATACTTTTTTGGCAGATTTATAAGTTCATAGGATTACAGTCGCCTTCTAGCTTCATTTGACCTCAATCAGCAGAGTGGCGGACTGGGATTAGCAGGGGGTGGCAGGTTCTATTGATTTTGATTAATGCATTTACAAAGGACTAGTGCAGGAAAGGACCAAACTGTGGCCCCTGACTCAAGTAAGCACCAAATATAGTATAAATATGGACTTATACTGTGTACAGAATAAAACAAGTTTGGCAGTAGGAACAAAACACCTGATTGCATATTGTGATCGTAAGTTTTTGCAAAGATTCATTACACACACACACACCCCTCCTAGTTTGAAACTAGAAAAAAATTGCCAGGTGCATTTTTCTACTTCTACTGGTGGCTTATCTCCCCCTAGTTTCAAACTTGGAACTAGACATCCAAGTGATCAAAATTATAAGAGTTTATTTTTTCTTCTTCTGAATAGATAGATATTTCAATTGTAATTCAAACCCCAAAAAGTAATTAAAAACGGTATTTTCATAAAAACAAGTCTGAACTGTTAAACCATTTTTAAAAAGGAATTAAATAGTTATTTGATATTAATTTTCTAATCAATATATTCATGGCACAATATTCTGACCATTATAAATTAGCATGCATTCAAAAAGGTAAGGGGAGATAATCCATATACATGTATCTCAACATTAGATACCATGTTTGATGTAATAAAGGTGCCAAACACCAATACATAATAATGAGTATTCCCTCAAACATTTACTACACAATAAAAGGGGTATTACTCCACTAAAAATGCAGGGAATGCCCCTATCAGAGAAGGTGCAGTTATTACGTCAAATATGGAAACTATGCATAGTTGAGATCACAGTTGCCTTCACCTTTATAAAATGTGTTTGGTCTGATCATAGCACAAACATTGAACACTCTACATTTATGACCCTTGACTTTGAGGCCAGCTTAAGGTCAAAGGTCAACAGTCAAGTATATTTTAATAGATATATATATATGTCTATATATATTATTTTTAAACGAAGTAAGATCACACACCACACAATTTTACCACACTTTCATAAATATCTGACAAAAGTGTTTTGTTTAATATTGTACACATATCTATACATACAAACATCTATTGTAATTAAATGTCAACACACTAATGATATATACAGGAAAGATATGCATCACTAAAACATAATTTGTTCCACTCCTTGTAATAAATACATTATGATAATATGGTACACTCACTGGATCACAAACTTCCCTCTGGCTATCATACTGGCATAAATCCACAAATTTCACAGGTGAGAAAAAATTGTTGGCAGAAAAATCTGCATCTAAACCTTTTGAGACCAATTATTGATAGAAAATATAGCTGTTGTATTTAGACCATTGGACCTTTTAAGGATCTACATTTAGTATAATACCAATTATCCAAATTTTAATTACTTAAACCTCCGCTGTATCCTGAGAAAATAACACTGTGTGACCAGGTTTTCTTGACGACTGCTTGTTCAACCATTTGTATGTCTCCAGTTCAGTTTGGATAGCTACGGTATCTACTTTAAAATTCACATTTGAGGTTCCAGGCTAAATCACACAAATTTTCTGTTTTACTACAAATTTTCATCAAATTATCATGTTTATTTCCTATTTTTCCTTCGCAGTAATGTCCCAAGATGTAAAGTTAACTTATACCTAAAAAAGAATGTGGTTCTAATTATATGCAACTAATAAATTTAGGTTTTACCTAACATCAAAGTCATGGTTTTCTCTTGCCAAGAAATGAAATATGTTGGAGTTATCTCCCTTCAAATATTCTGTTTGAGTTATCTCCCTTCAAATACTGTCTTTTTCTCAAATCTCGCACGTCAGTATATTACTGTACATGTTTAAGTATATATTGCACATTGCTTATTTAAAATTGGCACAAACATATCCATCTACTTAGTAGTGATGACATTGCTATAATAAGTCATTTTTGAATTCCCAACGATAATATTTAATATTTAAATAAAAATTGTAATAGCACCTTGTTGCCTTTTACGAAAATGTTAAAAGTGATAAGGAAATAATTGAAAATCTAGACATTAAAAGAAAATATCAAAACAAAAAAAATACAAAACCACGGAATTATCTAAGTCCGTGACAAAACAAACAAGAGGTGACTAATAAGAAACATATTCTATTTCCAGAGATTTGCGAGTTGGTAATTTAAAATGCACTCAACAAAGAATAAATCAAAATAATCAAATAGATAAAAATATTTCTAATGTCAGGAAAGTTTAAAAACATTTTTTTCTTGTAACATTTGATTTTGATAAAAATATAGATAAAACAGGTGATTTCTTGCACCAACCTGCACATATTTTGACGGATTTTGTTACCAGGTAATGAGATAAGGATAGGAATATAATCCACAAATTATTTATCACGCCACACCATTAGAACATATAACAGATAAATCTCTACAACGTTTGTACTTTGGAAACTTGGATTTCCTCAAATAAAATGCGCTCAAAACACAAGTCAGTATGAGTACTGTATACAGGGAAACTTTTGCCCCATCAAGTATTCGCCCTTTGCTGATAAAACCCATATTCGCCCAGTCTTTGTTTCACCTTCACATGTAAATACTACATCTGCTTATACTGTATGTTGTGTGCTGATATCTGGTGTAATGATATTCGCATCCGTTATGGAGGGCGGAAAAGGTTAAAGTTAAACTTCAGTGAACATCTAATTGCTATTTAAGATTGATACTCCATAACTTGAGTAATTAATGCTTTTCACAGTTGAGTATTCAGAATATCAGTATTTCACATAGAAATGTTCCAAATCTGGGTTTTTCAAGTCAGTATTTATGATTTCGCAGGTGAGTATTTTAAGTGTTTAAATAATCTCAAAAGTAAGAAATCCTAATCTCACAGCAAGCATTCCTAATCTCTCATCTCACATTAATAAGCAATACTAATCTCTGTCTAATCTTACTAGAAATCCATATCTCTGTATCTCACAGATGAGTTTTCCAAATCTTCATATTTCTGATAAGTACTCCAAGTCTCTGAATTTCACAGGTAATATGTTCTCATCTCTGTATTTCACAAGTAAATATTACCAATCTCTATCTCACAAATGAGATTTCCACATCTCTATATCCTTCAGGTAATTAGTATTCCCAATCTCTGTATCTCACAAATGAGATTTCCACATCTCTATATCCTTCAGGTAAGTATTCCCAATCTCTGTATCTTACAAATGAGATTTCCACATCTCTAAATCTTTCAGGTAAGTATTCCCAATCTCTGTATCACACAAGTGAGATTACCATATCTCTATATCCTTCAGGTAATTAGTATTCCCAATCTCTGTATCTTACAAATGAGATTTCCACATCTCTATATCTTTCAGGTAAGTATTCCCAATCTCTGTATCTCACAAGTAATAATTCCCAATATCTCACAGGTAAGTTTTTTTTACTTCTTTATCACAAAAGTTATTTACCCATGTCTTTGCATCTTTCAGTTAAGTATTCCAAATTTCTGTAACTCATCGGTAACTTCTGTTATTGTAATATTCCAAATCTACGCTGTCCTTATTCGTCTCTCCATCGAAGGTGAATGAGCATATTCAAGAATTTCAAATTCCTCGTTCCTATGTTGTGTTCGTCGTGGCAACGTCTGCCTACCTCCGGCCATACCTATGCTGATACCATCCATTCTGGAGGACTGAAATTATATAATATTTAATACAAGATGATGTCACTTTTTTTTACATCCATATTGTTTGTGTAACAGGAGAAAGGGAAATGCATGGAAACCCAGAACCCTCAAACTCTAAACGGACACTCTCACCAAATGAGCTACCTGGTCACCTAGAGCAACCCAGTCTAGTTCCGCTACACTTAGCATTCTTTTAGTGTCCTTTTATCATTCCCTAAAGTCAGAATTTTGAAAACAGAAAAAAAACTACCATAGAAAATTACATTGTTCCTCTCTGAAACAAAAACACTCACTAAAGGAAATAATCCAAATTGCTAAATTTGCATTTTCTTTCTTGTTACGTTGGATGAGTAAAGCCAGAAACCTTTGTTGTGGTTTTTGAGGTCAAGGGTCAAATAAATGGTTTAGTGTTTCCATTTTTTTTTTTGCAACAGGGCCTTATAATGCTGTAACTAAATACCTAGCATTATGTCCATAGTATACAGTGACTGACATATGTAATTAACATGATGTTACATTTTAATACTGCTATGTTGCACTCTTAATTCCCCGACTTATTGATACTGTAACATTTTTGTAAAATGTAAGAAATAGAAAATTTGATGGTTTTCATGAATTTGTATTAAACTGTAGTTTACTCATTCACCCCTGAAGACACATTTGAACTCTTCCAAAATCAAAGAATGGAATAGTTCATTTTGAAATTTCAGGGGTGAATGAGTTAAACTGAACAGGTTTTCAACAACCGAGTCTATAAGTTATGGCCTAGACACAAAACTAATGTACAAATAATACCCCCCCCCCTAACCCCCTTCCCCTACCAAACCTGACAAGGCCCCTAGTCAATGATGATCTATAGTGCTCAAACATTAAAGCAGAGATTTATGTCATTTTCTTATCCTCGTAAGTGAGATTTAAGCTAATATGTTAATCGCCCTGCGCACTAGTTATGGCAAATACGGTAGACAACGAGAGTACAAACCTGTGACCAAGTATCGGGATCGTACATGTCCATAACGACCGATGGTGAGGCTAAAGGACGAGCAGTTGAGGAAGTGGAGACGGTAGACATTCGGGACATTCGGGAGCTGACAGACAGTGTTCGGCGCCGGAAAGGTCGTCGAAGGTCATTGTCCTCATCATCCTCAATTTCCTGTCACATTGAAAAACACTCATCTGATAATGTACAATAATGAATCTGACGAACTGCCTGACTTACAACAGGAGAGATAACCTATCTTCTCTAACAACTTTCAAGAGAATCTATTTTGATGCTTTTCTCTTACATTAATAATTTGTAGGAAAGTCACCTTTTGTCTGCAATAAGGATTTTGTCTAAAAGTGATCATTTTGTCTCAGAATTACAGAGGCCCAGTCTTTGATTTGGTAAGGTTCAAATGTGACTTAAGGGTTGAATGCTGAGGGAAGTAAAAAATTTCAATATTTTCTATGAAAATGTATGTCAGACTACAAGAATTTTTCATATCTGCCTTCTCCTCACTACTCTGAAAATGAAATTGTACACCTCTGAACAGAAATTTTGTCTGAAAGTCACAGTTTTATATGACAAATAATTTTGTCTGGTGGCCAATGGGTAACCCTATATGTATAAATAATAATTCTGTTTGCTAAATCTAGTCAATTTACTGTTGCAGTCAGAAAATGAAATACATATGTTGTTTTATCACCACAAACATTAGATTCAAACTAGCAGAGCCAAATTAAGCATTAACTATTGATCTAGGAAAGCCAAGCCTACGGTATCAACTAAAGTTGATTGTATTGTCCTGTAATGAGCCAGACACATGCACTGCTAGGCAAGAGTCAGGCTACAAATATAAAAAAAATGCCAGAAAGAAACACCCTCTAGACAAAAGCATCACTTGTTGCCACACAAACCATATTCCGAAATTATTATTGCAACTATTAATGTTTATGAGTAAAGATTGGGTACAGATTACACAGGTTTTGCTAATAAAATGTTGGATTATTCAAGTGTCTCTAATTTATTGTCAAATAATACAGGTGTCACTAATGAGATGTCAGATTAAACAGGTGTTACTAATGAAATGTCAGATTATACAGGTGTCACTAATGATATGTCAGATTATTTAGGTGTTACTAATGAAATGTCAGATTATACAGGTGTCACTAATGATATGTCAGATTAAATAGGTGCCACAAATGCAATGTCAAATTAAACAGGTGTCACTTATCAAATGTCATATTATACAGATATCACAAATAAGATGTCAGATTGAAAAGGTCTCATAAATGAGATGTTATATTATACAGATGTCACTAATGAAATGTCATATCATACAGGTGTCACAAATGAGAAGTCATATTATACAGGTGCCACAAATAAAATGTCAGATTGAAAAGGTCTCACAAATCAGATGTAATATTATACAGGTGTCACTAATGAGATTTCAGATTATACTGGTGTTATTTATGAAATGCCAGAATAAACAGTTGTTATATATGAAATGTAAGACTTAACAGGTGTCACTTATCAGGTATCAGATCATACAGGTGTCACCAATGTGATGTCAGATTATACAGGTATCAGTAATGAGTTGCTGTACTTAAGAGTTGTCACTTATGAGTTGTCAGATTATACAGGGTTGATTAATGAGATACTTCATAAAACAGGTGTCACTACTGAGAATTCAGAGAATACAGGTGTTACTTATGAAATGTCAGATTAAACAGGTGTCACTATAGAATTTCAGATTATACAGGTGTCAATAATGAGAGGTCAGATTATACAAGTGAAACTATGGAATTTCAGATTATGCAGGTGTCACTAATGAGATGTCATATTATTCAGGTGTCACTAATGAGATGTCATATTATACAGGTGTCACTAATGAGATGTCAGAATACACAGGCATCATGAATGAGATGTCAGATTATGCAGGTGTCACTAATGAGATGTCATATAATACAGGTGTCATTACTGATATGTTGTATTAAACAGGTGTCACTAAAAAGATGATAGATTATACAGGTGCCATTGTAGAGATGTCAGATTACACAGGTATCATAAATGAGTTATCAGATTGATAGATTATACAGGTGCCATTGTAGAGATGTCAGATTATACAGGTATCATCAATGAGTTATCAAATTATACAGCTGTTGCTTATGAGATGTCCAATTAATAAGGTGTCACTAATAAAATTCCAGATTATAAAGTTATCAATAATAAGATGATTACAGGATCCTCGTCCGTAAGAATCATGGCATTCTCCTCCTCAGCAGCCTTTCTCTGGCGCATCTCAACCATCATCTCCCGAAACTGTTCCTTCAAAGTCTCTATCTTGCGTCGGAGCTTCGTCTCGGAGCTGGTGTGACGTCCATCGAGATCAAGCTGCATCTTGAGTTCCTGTATTTCTTGCTGTATGATGGTCATCTTTATCTGGATCTGACGTGCGAAATAACGAAATCAACAAAATCGTGAAAACAACTCAAAGCTGACTTACTACCAAGGCCCTTGATTTCAAATTGCATATTTCGGAGACATTTTTTCCATCTGATAAACATCTAACACTAATTTCTATGTAACTGGTACATATTTTGACAGAATCTTTTTTTCGTGATTTACACATGTTACAATTTTTCACAACAGAAAATGCCAGGCATTGGTAGTATTATAATCTATTTACATTATGTGAATCAAAATGCTAACACAAAAAGGGGTGCACATGCAGAAAGGAAGTAAAAGTGAAAACAAAACTTCAATAAGATTAGTATTTGACCTGTCCCAATTTTCAAAATAAAACTTTCATACATTTTCTTCATCTATTTCATTCAAGTTTATCAAATGAGACAAGGTAACCATGATTTCATAACTGATGGTGAAGCTGTTAAATATTGATAAGAGATGGTTTCTTGTGGTTCCCGAAACCGTTTGGTGTTCGGGTATATGTACATTTCCACTGAACAGACTTTAAGGATCCCGGTCCCACTGGACTGTGGTTTTACGTATATACAGCTAACTCCCCTTAATTTTATTTTGGATATAACTATAGAGTATTTGATGTTTAATACTTGACAGAAATGGTAACCATAGAAAAAAAACACTGTTCCAGCAAAAATATAAAGTCTGTTTCAATCTTTGGTAAAGCGGTTTGTTTAGGATGTATCATTAACCAAAACAAAGCACCTAGAAAGATAAAATAGAACTGTTTCGTGATGGTTTTTAACTCATTCACCTCTCAAGACACATTTGAACTTTTCCAATTCAAAGGTTGGGATATTCTATTACGAAATTTCAGGGGTGAACTCAATTGCTGAAAAACATATTCACATAGTTTTTGTTAACAAGAGTCCAGTTTCCCCCTAGTTTGAAACCTAATCACAAGATGCACTTGCACTATCGTGGAATATAAAGGCCACTGGGTTTAGTACCAGCAAACAGTGTGTGGCAGATTTTCATATTGTACATAGGATTACAGTCACCTTTTAGCTTTGTGCTAGAGGGAATTTTCCCCCTTAGCTCAATTGACAGAGTGGCGGACTAGGAAGCTGAGGGTCACTGGTTCAATCCCCTGGTGGAAGTACATTTCTCTGTCACTAATGGTGTCTCGGTGGCCCTCCCAGTGGTGACAGGGAGTTAGAACATGGGTTGTCATGGTGTTCAAGGGCGAACACATTTAAAAAGGGGGAGTAGTGTGGCAGATTTTCATTGTATATAGGATAACAGTCACCTTCTAGTTTTACTCTAGAGGGACATTGGTATATTAAGCACACACTTAGTTCCATGAATTCATCTGAAAAAATCTTACGCAAGTATTACCACGATTTGTAGATCAATTAAACTTTGTTTGATTTCCATAAGGGAGGTTACTGTATATAGGAACAAGTCACCTTCTAGTTATGCTAAAATACTATTATATTAATTTTATATACTATTATTATAAAAAACTGATTTCCCTTCTCCATAGGATGCTATTGTTTAAATTTGGTCAAAATACCTTCATCCCAACGAAAGAAGAAGGATATTAAAGCTATTCCTCTATATCCTTTATTGGGCCTGCCTCTCTGCTCCCAGACGGGTTAAACCCACTGTTTATACAAAATTGAGTCCCCTTGGCACAGGGATGCTCCAGACTAAATTAGGATAACATCTCTTAATCCCTACAGTAGAAGAAGGATTTTAAAGGTTTTACCTCTGTTTCCCCTATTGGGCCCCACCCAATGCTCCAAGGGGGGCCACATCCACCGTCTATATAAAATTGAGTCCCTTTGGCCCAAGGATGCTCCAGACTAAATTAGGATAAAATCTCTTAATCCCTACAGAAGAAGAAGGATTTTAAAGGTTTTACCTCCACTTCCCTTATTGGGCCCTACCCCTCTGCTCCCAGGGGGGCACACCCACTGTTTATACCAAATTGAGTCCTCTTGGCCCAAGGATGCTCCAGACTAAATTAGAATAAAATCTCTTAACCCCTACAGTAGAAGAAGGATTTAAAAGGTTTTACTTCTATTTCCCCTATTGGGCCCCACCCCTCTGCTCCCAGGGGGGCAACACCCACGTTCATACAAAATTGAGTCCCCTTGACCTAAGGATACTCCAGACCAAATTTAGTCAAAATCTACTTGGCTGTTCAGGACTAGTAGTGTTTTAAAGAGAAAGTTGACGGACGGACGAAGGACGACAGGAGACAGACCAGGTGAGCTAAAAAACACAGTTCAGTGGGACAGGGAAACTTAAAGCAGTTTGTTATATTACTAGTACCAAAGATATTCTTAAGTTTCCATAAATATTGATATTCTGCCAAACTCATGAAATATATAGGGTATTTAAGAAGTAACTATTAAATGTTCTCTCTATATTTTATAAGTTAAGATAAAGGCGCTGATGCATGTTTTCAAAACCACCTCCCATCACGTAAACAAGGCAGCATCAATATCTGGTAATTTTTTCTATTTCTTTATACCACAGAGATAGTTAAAGGATTTTCTCTTTTATCACTGAAATGATAAGAGTCTAGAAATTCTGCTCTCTTCAAGATGGTGGAATCGCTGACAAGCCAGCTGAGCAGCCGACACTGCAGCAAGGAACCGTCACTTGGGGAAAAAAAGAAAAAACCGACACTGATACAGCTTTGGTGTGATTGTATATACCCTTGAGGCTAACAGGACCAACACATAGTGTACTGAAATGTCTGCAACTTGTTGATGACTTTATCCCCATTATCAACTGACAGTGAAGATATAATACAAGCATGTTCTAATAATAGATATCAATCTCTATAAATAGCCTGGCATTGTTTCACTTTCACAAACATTCAAGAAATTAAATAACCGAAGTTTTACCAATAAGTATTTTTTATATCATCTAATCTTATTTATTTCACTCATCCTCTACCTTTCTTTTATACCTCTCTGTTGCACTCTGTCCGGTTCATCCCCCAACCTCCCTACCCCACCCCACCCCCGTCTATCCCCTCTTTCATGTCTATACAGCAGAAAAACCCTGTTTCAATGGCACAATTAACCACCTATGCATCTACTTACCTGTTCCACAGTGGGCTCAGCATGAATTTCACAGTCCAGTTGGTGCACTTCCATTTTTTTGGAGAGTTGTTCTCCGGGAATCCTTCGATTACCCAGTAAACTGGACAGGTCATCCATCTAGAGACAACAATGTACACACAGTGTTATCTTCACAATCTGTAGAGCGGTTTTACAAATCTCGATAAAAATTGAGTAAACAGGGAGTGCTTTTATGCTGGTTGTTTAAAGACTTTTCACCCGACATCACATGTTGTACATGTAAGGGTTGGCAAAAATTCATATTTTTCTAACAATAATATTGGTGATATAGGTCATAGGCAGGTAATATGAACTCATATTACCTGCTTGAAACCTATGTAACAAATTTAACAAACTACATACCACATACCTATAAAGGCCAATCAACCCCCCACACATCCCCCCCCCAAAAAACCTGATTATGAATTGATAATACCGGTATAAGGTATAAGGGGGGGGATCAAACATGATGTCTGACGACATTTACATTCAGTAGGAGTTACTCCCCTTAGTAAGTGTTTTTTTATTTATGCTAGGAATATCTATTTTCTGAGATAGTAAAATAATGAAACCTCATCATTCTGCCGCCACCTTTCCAGCCTAGTTAAACAGTTGAAAACAGGCTGATTCCCCTTAGAAAATGTTTTATTTTCCTAAAATTAATCAAAAATGAGAAATATGTTCCCAGTTTCAATACAAATATTTCTCTAATTTCTTATTTGTGTAGGAACAGACCGCTGTAAAATTAAAGAAATAAAATCACTGTAAAGTGGTTTGGCAATATATTGAGGAAGGCATATTAAGGATTTTTCACCAGAACATTATCCCGCAATTCCCCTGTTGAAGTAAAAATTCTGAGATTTTTATCATTTAACTTATTCACCCCTGAAATTTCATAATGAACTATTCCAACCTTTGAACTGGAAGAGTTTAAATGCGTCTTCAGGGGTGAATGAGTTAAAACATTTTTTGTTTATGACTGATTTAGCTAGTTGGGCTTCGAAAAACTGGGACAAGAACCCTAAATAAATAGAAATGCAGGAGTGGGGGAGGGGTGTTGGTCACAAGACTATACAATTATACCCCAATGACCTCCAACCGCTAACTCGCATACAAGATGCTATGAAATGTCAAAAGTCATTAATACATGACCTTGACCACAGTCGGAAATCATGCCAAAATATCATGTCCTGCTTGTTTCAATTTACTGATTTCATCAGTGACCCCTGTCAGTTACTTTTTCACTGATCAATGGGTCGTCCCCTCAATTGATGAGTTCAAACCAAAATGGATTTTTGGTTGAGCTATGTGATTACATCTGTGATTACAAGGCTATCTGACTAACATTACAGAAGCATGCATTTATCATTAGATTACATAGGTTTGTGAAGATACATGAAGTAAAAATAATTAAGTAGAATCCCATATTAAAAGTACAATGACCGTGCATCATTATTGAAAAAAATATTTTCCAAATCGTATCACTAAGGGCAGTACTTACTTCAAAACAATCAAAATACTTACGATGGCAATGAAATCCCTGGTCAACATCTCAGGGTTGGGCAAGACTGTCCGGTCAGCCATCACAGACATCCTCACCTGGTCAGCATAGGTAAAGAAGGAGATCGCCACAGCAACCTGGTGGATTGGTGGCATCCAGCATATTACAGACTTGATTTTTTTAGTGGCTATTTTCAAGGTTGTCTCGGGCCCTGGAAGGTCAGAAATGACAAATGTACACTTACTATACAGGGATCGCCACATGGAATACAACCACCGTTGGGGCAAGATCGTCGAAGACAACATATGGGCCCCTTGTGTGACCGAGAAAAAAGCCAGACTACCAATCTTGTCCATGATGTGTTTGACCCGCCAGAGTCGAGGGATGGCACCTTCTGTGTTTGAAGGAATAGAGACGGGGATAAACAGACAGTCGTTGTTTTGCAGATGAAGGGGTGAGGGTCCCGAATGGTAGTGTACAGGTACCAGGGCCTGCATGTCATACGGATTCGGAATTCCATTCGTCTGCAGATAATTACGTAGACAACCTGCTGTGACAGACAGGAAGATGTCATTTAGAGTGGAACGCGTCACCTGAGAAAGACGTGTGGCTTGCTCAAGGCTGTACGGCTCTGACCAAGCTATCACCTGTTTGCCCGTGGCGTGGATGTGTTGGCCATGCAGCATATTAAAATCTTGCTTTTTGAACACGTACTGTTTCAAAAAAACCAACGGGCCACTGAAGAATGCCTGGACGGCATTACAGAAACGCCGACGACTAGAGAACTTTGGCATAGCGATGGTGATGGACTCCATATCCACAATAGCCTTATACAGAAGTTGTACGAGTGAGATTCCGTCAGCGATACATGGATGAATGCGCAACAATACAACCGTGTCTCGCTGATCGGCAAAGTCGGTCAGAACCTGGATTTCCCACAGAGGATGGTGCATAGAGAGAGGTTTCGAGCTAGATTCTGATATATATTCCTGGAGGTCCTCCATATTTTCTATGGAGGAAGGCATATTAAAAACGTGGTTGTTTATTAGGAAAGCCTCATCCTGAATCCAAGATGGGCCAGAAAAAGTATTCACAATTTTCTTTGTAAATTTTGGATATAATCTATTGCCATTTTTATCTGTTGCCTTTATTAGTCGATTTCTCACCAACTCCCGTATTTTGTAGGTCGTTAGACCATACTCCACTATAACAACACATTGGTACACAACGGTGCTGGTTTCCAAATTTTCTGCCCATGCTCTCTCCTTTGGAGATAGGAGAGTTCCACATTGACACTTTTTTCCATAGCAACAACAGCATGAAAATATTTTCTTCACAAAGAAACACAAGGGGCATAGAATTAGAAAGATGGCTGCCAGAGGTAGAAATAGCACAAAGCCGGCTATAAGGAACATCATTAATCCTAGCAAAGAGGAACATATACTTTTCTCACTTAAATGTTTTAGTGTTGTGTAGGGTGCACTGGGAAAGCTGTGTGTCAAACCGTGACGTCTGTACCCTTCCAGTGTCGGGAAGGCCCTTTCATTCTCTTCCGCTTGATGGGCGTGGATGTCATTGGCTATGAGGCTGTCTATGTCAATGTATGTGTCCTTGTGATCGGAGGGTGAGGAGGGAATGGAAGGGGTGTTTGAGTTGATGCGGTAAAAAGCTGACCGTCGTACGTCACCGAGAGACATGGTCCGCTGTTTAGGAATGTTCTCACTGTAGTTATTCTGTGTCCCTGCCGAGTTGTACAAGTTACTGTGTTTTGATTGGTCAAATGCCTGCCAGTGATTGTTGACTGAAGTCTTTTGACTCTGGGAAGAAGATTTTGAGATTTGGGTATATGGCGCTGACATATCCCCGCTTGTGTTGTAAACACTAGCTGATTGCAGCATCTGAGTCTTGTTGCGCAAAGTTGCCAGGTCTGTTGAGATACTCCGTGACAGTTTGTAATAGTTGTCAGGGAGTTGCCTCCCCTTTTTGTTGATGAAGGTATCATCAGCACTTGTCTGCCCTTCCTGTTGCAGCTGCAACACTTTGGCTCGTCGTTTCTGCATGTTTTTGTCCCAGGTGGCATACTTTTTAGATCTTTCTGCACGGTTACTCCTGCCGGAATCTCTCCTGTTGCCGATGCCTTGATCGTCGGATCCATCACTTGAGTCAAGCTTTTGTCTGACAGAGTTTCTGTCCCTTCCCTCGCCTGCTGCACCATTTTGACCATCTTGTATACAATGGTTCGAAGGTTTGACCTTATCCTTTCTTTCTCTAGACATGTCACTCCCTCTGGTGGCCAACTGTGGCTCAGATGACCGTCGACTATTATTACCATGGACACCACTCGACTGAGAGTGCGCTCCAGACTTTGAAGATTTGTGGATGGCTGGCTTCCTTTTGTTTCCATGGCGATTGTCATTACTATACTCATCCATCTGGTGGTCTACATGTTGATGGCTGTCATCTTTGTCCCGATCTGCAATATACAAAACATAACATTAAACACTTGGCTTCAATTACACATGACTTCATAGAGACACAAGACTTCAATTATAAAAGACACTATTTCATGTTAGACATATGGATTAAATTAAGATCACTTCTTCATATAAGACACATGACATCAGACAAGACACTATTTTATGTAATACACATAGCTCAGGTAAGACATGGCTTCAGGTATGACACTATTTTATGTAAGACACATGGCATCAGGTAAGGCACTATTTTATGTAAGACACATGGCATTAGGTAAGACAAATGGCGTCAGGTAATGCACTATTTTATGTAAGACACATGGCATCAGGTAAGACACTATTTTATGTAAGACACATGGCATTAGGTAAGACACATGGCATCAGGTAAGTCACTATTTTATGTAAGACACACGGCATCAGGTAAGACACTACTTTATGTGAGATGAATATTGTATGTGACTTAATTGAGAACCTTCATACAAGATGCATGCTTTCATGTAAGACATATGACTTCTTATAAGGCATCTGACTTAATAAAACACCTGAATTTATCTAAGATCTGTAACCTTTAATACAAGTCACATGACTTAAAGACATCTAATTGCAAACCAGACATGGCTAAATATGAGAGGTCCATAGGCATAAACGGTCACCTGGAAAAAAATACCAATTTTCAGCAAAATATTGTATAATATCTAAATTTTGACCAATCAGAGGCCACCACTCGGTTACCATGGAAAGACAAATTTTCGAAACACTCACCGTTTATTTCAGTATACCCAATTACCCCATATAACAATTATCAACAAAATCCAACTACATCTTAATTTCAACCAATCAAAAGCCTGCATTGTGGCCCCTTCTATGGCCCCAAGGACTTGATTTGAACACAGTTAAATCTACATGCATGCAAAACAGCTAGCAAATCTGTCGCACTTCTGGTTCTTGAAAATAGACATTTTTTTCTCTATTTTTGCCCCTATTGGGTCTCCTAAGACCCTTAGCCCCTCCACTTGAACAAATCTAAATCCCCATGTCATGCTGATCACTTGTGCCAAGTAACATCAAATTTGGCCCAGCAGTTTTTGAGAAGAAGTCGAAAAATGTAAAATGTTAATGCATCACCCACGAGAACGGACAAAGACAGATTGTAATGGGTATCCATGACCAGAGATCAGGTGACCTAAAAAGATGCATCGCTTCACAAAATACACAACTTCATGAAAGACAACGATTCCTCAAAGACCCTCGTCTTCAATTCATTTATGTAAGACTCAATAAACACAACAATATAAAAACCTCACAGCAGGAATTGGGCTTAACACAGATGAATGTCGGCCATTGTTTCTGTGTGGAGAATATATTAATCAAATGTTTTTTTAAGAAGTTTAACATAATTGAAACAGACATAGATTGATGAACATGTGCTAGGGAATTTAAGTGGCCATTAAATCGCAATTACTCATCATCACGTTTGCCAGACAAACACAGACAAACACCAGTACCTGTGATTGAGCTATCAGAGCGTAGGAGATGAAGGTTTATATATGATATAATTATCTAGCGACTCCCATTACTGTACATAAACCGGGCTGGAAATGGGAGGTAACTCCAGCACAGAATGGTAATGACCTTATCCTTCCCAATGAGCCCATTCATACTACACTCTGTAGCTTGCATACTTAGAAGAACCTCTTGAAAAATAATTTCTTCAAGGTGAATTTCTTGAAACATTTCTTTAAGGTGACAGCATGGAATCATCATCAGTCAATCACAGAACTTATACTATAAACATACTTATTTCTGCAGAAAATATATTTCAGCACTTACATCCAGTGTATAGATTTGCTATTTAATATCAGAGCTTATCTATATCAAAATCATAAAATCATTGATTTTTTTGTGTAAACATGAATCCATAAATCAACTATTGATAGAAGCTGTGGGGGTTATAGTACTACACTGTGTGAAATGTTAGTTGCAAAATTTAGCACTTTATAGTGAGGACAGTTCAGCCTCACGGGACAGCAAAACTAAGTACCAAAAAAGTTACTCTCACAGCACTGTACTAAATAGAAGAAAAAGTTTAAATCTACAGCACAGTTAAAAAAAGTAGAAGGCAAGGTCCAGATTATAAAAATAGTATTAGATAGTAGAGGAGGATGGTTAGCTCTACAATACTGAATAGTGGAGGATGGTTAGCTCTACAATACTGAATAGTGAAGGAAGGTTAGCTCTACAATAGTGAATAGTGGAAGAAGGTTAGCTCTACAATACTGAATAGTGGAGGATGGTTAGCTCTACAATACTGAATAGTGGAGGATGGTTAGCTCTACAATACTGAATAGTGGAGGGAGGTTAGCTCTACAATACTGAATAGTGGAGGGAGGTTAGCACCATAGTATTAAAATAGTAGAGGAAGGTAAGCTCTACAGTAATAAATAGTAGAGGGAGGGGAGCTCTACAGTACTAAATAGTAGAGGAAGGTTTGCTCTACAGTACTAAATAGTAGAGGAATGTTAGCTCTACAGTACTAAATAGTAGAGGAAGGTTAGCTCTATGGTATTAAGTAGTAGAGGAAGGTTAGCTCTATAGTATTAAATAGTAGAGGAAAGTTAGCACTATAGCATAGTAGAGGGAGGGGAGCTCTACAGTACTAAATAGTAGAGGAAGGTTTGCTCTACAGTACTAAATAGTAGAGGAAGGTTTGCTCTACAGTACTAAATAGTAGAGGAAGGTTAGCACCATAGTATTAAAATACCAGAGGAAGGTTAGCTCTATAGTATTAAATAGTAGAGGAAAGTTAGCTCTACGGTATTGCAATAAAAGAGGCATATAAGATATATAATATTAAATAGTAGAGGGAGGTTAGCTCTACAGTACTAAATAGTAGAGGAAGGTTAGCTCTATGGTATTAAGTAGTAGAGGAAGGTTAGCGCTATGGTATTAAAAAGTAGAGGAAAGTTAGCTGTATGGTATTAAGTAGTAGAGGAAGGTTAGCTCTATAGTATTAAATAGTAGAGGAAAGTTAGCACTATAGTATTAAATAGTAGAGGAAAGTTAGCTCTACGGTATTGAAATAAAAGAGGCATATAAGATATATAATATTAAATAGTAGAGGGAGGTTTGCTCTACAGTACTAAATAGTAGAGGAATGTTAGCTCTACAGTACTAAATAGTAGAGGAAGGTTAACACCATAGTATTAAAATAGAAGAGGAAGGTTAGCTCTATAGTATTTAATAGTAAATGAAGGTTAGCCCTACAGTATTAAATAGTAGCAGAAGGTTAGCTGTATGATATTAAATAGTAGAGGAAGGGAAGTTCTACAGTACTCTTTAGGAATGTTAGCGCTACAGTATCAAATAGTAGAGGAAGGTAAGCTTTACAGTATTAAATAGTAGAGGAATGTAAGCTTTACAGTATTAAATAGTAAAGGAAGGGAAGCTTTACAGTATTAAATAGTAGAGGAAGGTTAGCTCTATAGTATTAAATAGTAGAGGAAAGTTAGCACTATAGTATTAAATAGTAGAGGAAAGTTAGCACTATAGTATTAAATAGTAGAGGAAAGTTAGCTCTACGGTATTGCAATAAAAGAGGCATATAAGATATATAATATTAAATAGTAGAGGGAGGTTTGCTCTACAGTACTAAATAGTAGAGGAAGGTTAACACCATAGTATTAAAATAGAAGAGGAAGGTTAGCTCTTTAGTATTAAATAGAAGAGGAAGGTTAGCTCTATAGTATTTAATAGTAAATGAAGGTTAGCCCTACAGTATTAAATAGTAGCAGAAGGTTAGCTGTATGATATTAAATAGTAGAGGAAGGGAAGTTCTACAGTACTCTTTAGGAATGTTAGCGCTACAGTATCAAATAGTAGAGGAAGGTAAGCTTTACAGTATTAAATAGTAGAGGAAGGTAACTTTATAGTATTAAATAGTAGAGGAATGTAAGCTTTACAGTATTAAATAGTAAAGGAAGGTTAGCTCTACAGTACTAAATAGTGGAGGGAGGTTAGCACCATATTATTAAAATAGTAGAGGAAGGTTAGCTCTACAACCTTAAATAGTAGAGGAAAGTTAGCCCTATAGTATTAAATAGTAAAGGAAGGTTAGCTCTACAGTACTAAATAGTAGGGGAAGGTTAGCTCTATAGTATTAAATAGAAGAGGAAGGTTAGCTCTACAGTACTAAATAGTAGAGGAAGTTTAGCTCTATAGTATGAAATAGTAGAGGAAGGTTAGCTTTATGGTATTAAATAGTAGAGGAAGTTTAGCTCTATAGTATCAAATAGTAGAGGAAGGTAAGCTTTACAATATTAAATAGTAGAGGAAGTTTAGCTCTATAGTATTAAATAGTAGAGGAAGGTTAGCTCTATAGTATTAAATAGTAGAGGAAAGTTAGCACTATAGTATTAAATAGTAGAGGAAAGTTAGCACTATAGCACATTACTATTTGCAGAGAAAGATCTGTGGAAATATGACCAATAAATTTGTCATTGGCAGTGTCGGCCTAGACAGAAGGTAGTTTATGATCAGGAAAATGACCATCTGTTTCTGATCAAACTGTTCCGAAATAGAAACCCACATTTCTCCAATATCAAATACAATTTCAGATGTTTAAATCCATTAAAGGGACTGTGTCGACATTCCAATTTGTCTGGATTTGGATGGCGCCCCCACGAAAAAGATTTGGCTGCAAAGAGATAAAGTTGGTACATGCGCACTGGGGGAATATTTCCCTACTTATCCTCCAATAAGCCCAGGGGGCCAACACATAATCTGAGACTCAAAGTAGACGGAGGTTATCACAGAACAATGAAATAGCATTTGTTGGCAGTTGTGGGGTGGGCTTATCAGCAGGCATGGGCTTAGTGCTGAATAAATGTGGTATATAAATTCATGTTACTTTAAGTGGAATCAACTCTTTATGGTCTGCTTAAATGTGACCCCATGTGTAAGATAGGTTTATATGAATGTCAATGTGACCACAGAGTAGACA